ATTATAACTTCGGCGCTACTATGGACGACGAACGACGACATGTCGTGCCCGGGCAATTTTCAGCTCCTATAGACCCTACTCCCTACGGTCATTCTATTATTTACTGATACTTCTCGCCGACTCTCTGTTCTATATTTCAAACCGACTTCGCGATATATCCGCGAAAGTCCTAAGATAACATCATGCGGCGCGAGACGCATTTTTCCGCAGATTTTTCAGGATTTCTAACTGGAAACAATCAAAATCCCGCACGGAAAAAAAAGTTTGGTTGAATTAACCAAATATCTGGTCGAATATGAACGATCCAGAAATTCCAATTGAAGTAACCCGAATTCTGTTTAAGATGACAATATGTTTGGTTGACTTAAACAGAATTCGGGTTACTTCAATCGGAATTTCTGGATCGTTCATAATCGACCAGATATTTAATTCAACTAAACCTTTTTTTCCGTACGACTTTGCCAAAAACTGGGATCTAATTGGGAAATCTGCGAAAACTCGGATTAGAAGTATAATGTCCTTATAGAAATATCATACTAAGAATCATTGATAATTACTTATTTTCAGTATTAAAAATACTGGATAATAAGTAATTATCAATGATTCTTAGTATGATATTTCTATAAGGGTGTTTCAGTAAAAAATAACAAATTCGCAATATTCAAACAATAAATAATTCTAATAAGGCAAGTGAGAATATATCGTTATTGGTTTAATGCAAAATATTATATATTCAACATAATGTAGTAAACGTTTTGGTTTAAATCCTCTTCAGTAGATAAACATATAATAATGGATGCAATACAAAAACATATAGAATTAAATAATCTGATAGATCCCTTACAAAAATAAAGTATTAAATTATAATTAAGAAGATAAAAATATAAAATAATATAGGTCTAGGTTCAAACTTACACAAAACAGTCGTATATCAGAACATTTAATTTAATGTTTCAAAAATGCGATTCTAAATAGACAACCCAAACAAATCCTATTTTCTCTACCGAACATTTTCCCAGTGTTTTCTTTTTTCTTTTTATTTCTATTTCATATTTATGTTGAGCAAAATATTGGTGGGGGTATGTTGACAATCATACCATTTTTCAAATATCTGATTTTGTCATTGCAAAGTACTCCTAAAACCATTAAATTTTTGTCTAGAAAACTTTTTTTTACCTCTTATATTTTGACGAAATATGCTCCTAAAGAAAACGACCGATTTTTTTCAAAGAGGTGTTTTGCCCCCTAAAAGTCCTGGGCACATATAAAAAAATACGTGTCTCTTCTTTTGGTCTGAATTACAATATATTTCAAATTCATCCAAATCGGAGCTAATCACCTATGTAGGGTTCCTTGTTAGTTTCTCTGATTTTGTTGGAAAATCTGATAGTATTCCAATTAGATTCCAGACAATTTTTTATACAGGGACCAAACAAATTATGAGAAACGTTGAACAGAGCAAATGAAATATGTTTGGATTATATATATATATATACACACACACACACACACACACACACACACACACACACACACACACACACACACACACACACACACACACACACACACACCCAACCGTCCAAAAGTTTGGAAGCAGCCATATTTTTGTGTGAAATTAAAGATCGTTCGTAAATATTATGAAAGCAACCGTTTATAATGAATGTTTATTGACATTGACAACTACTTTAGGTCAGAACACCAACTCTTTGTACCTATATCTAACAAATTCTTGCTATTAACTACTTGCGGTTAAACACTTACTTTATTTTGGTCACGTTTGAATCACAGAAATATGTTTATTCTTAATTCCGATATCTAATCATTATATTCTAATTAGATAGAATCTTAATAGTTGTATTCAAGCATTCATAGACGCAAGTTACAATTTCTGAGCTCAATGCGTGTTAAAGTTATCAGCCGGTTGATTTAATTGAATTTTTTTATTTAATATAATGTAGTTATAAGCACAGAAAGTTAGCGTTCTAAAATAGTTGTCAATGTTGATAAACGTTTATTATAAACGGTTGCTTTCATAATATTTACCAACGATCTTTTATTTCACACAAAAATATGACTGCTTCCACACTTCTGTTACTGTTCTGACGGTAGTATATATATATATATATATATATATATATATATATATATATATAT